ACAGCCCTTCGTCGATCTTTTTCGATGCACCATATCTGCACTGATTTCGTATCCTAACGTAAACAATGACAACTTATAGACAAGCTTCCCAAAATAATATATACACTCTTTAAATATTAATAGTTAATAATACATTTTTATATGGATGAAAATAGGCAAAACAGATGGATTGGAAGAAGAGGGCCAGTTGAATACCCACCTAGATCACCAGATTTGACACATTTGAATTTCATTTTATGAGGGTTTCTAAAATACAAAGTTTAGAGCAGGAAATCTGAAACAATTACTGAAATGAGAGCAGCAATTGAATGAAATGATACTGGAGGTATGTAGGTTTTCAAGATATGAAAAGTGTATTGAACAGAACGGCAACCACTTTGAGCACTTGATGTAAACTCATCATTATATGAACAATCTGCCATTCTATGAGCATTCTGCCATTACCCCAAGTAGCTTTTATCCTATTAAAGTTAATTTTCTATGATTTTTTTAATTTTTTGCTCTCAAATTCTTTAAATGTGTATTCTATAAGTTTTATTAATCTTATTTACAAGTCAAAATATATAAATTGAATAAGTTAGAACGATTCAAAGTTTGTATACTTTATTTTGGGACAACATGTATTTCCTATTCCTTGTGTTTATAATTATAAGTATTTTATATTATGTCTTATGTTTAGACTTAAAACTACTTTTTCGTGTTTCCATTTTGAAAAGTTCTGATCGTTTGTTTCATAATTTGTGTTGGTCTGGGAAGGTAATCTCCATCTATAAAAGGCAGGATGTGTGTGTGTGTGTGTGTGTGTGTGTGTGTGTGTGTGTGTGTGTGTGTAACGGATGCACGGCAGCAATTTTCGACGGATTTGCACCAAAATTTACATGCACATGCTCCAACTTAGCGGGAAGGCCAAGACCGACTTTGCATTTCCCAACTCCCAACTATAGTCGAAATAATCGAGTTTTTCATGCTTCTACGGCAGTTTTCATGTAGTTTTCGGCCATTTTCTACTGGCCAGAGTGAGTGCCTATAGCTGGCTGCAACGAATAGGCAGGAAGATTCTATTGGCCAGCGTGAGAGCCAACAGCTGACTGACATGAATGTTAACTAGCATGCTAGCATGCAAAAAAAAAAAAAGAAAATCGATAGCTGTATTCGTCACAAAATTTAAATCTGCTTGGCACTTTACTCCAATTGGCTCATTCGCTTGCTTAAACTCAACGTTGATTCTGATTCCGCAGAACTGCGTTAGGTGTGAAAAGTATTTGTTGTTTTCATTCGGTTTTTCCAGTTACGAGTCCTTTTTTAAAGCTGATCGTTTTGTGTTCATTTTGTTTAGTTATTTTTTCGTAACAGATTTAATGTTTAGTATAGAGGTTAGAAAAAAATCGCAGTGTGAGATAGGCAAGAAGCATGTAGCAACATCAGCACGGCAAAGGGCACTCTTTTAAAGGCAAGGAAGGGCAAAAATATTTTAAGTCAAGTGATAGCGATTGCTGTATGAGTCGTACGATTTTTGAATCAAGTACGGGCAACGCCGGGACATGCTGCTAGTTATATCTATTTTTTTTCCAAACAGAGTTTCCAGTTTTTGTATTTATTGTTGTAGTCTGATTCTATTTTCCATTTGGTGTATTTAATTTTAAGTTCCTATATATTTTTAGACAGTGTTGTGTCCACTTTTATATTTGCATAAATTCTATCCCTGATATTAAGTACTTTTACCCATAAATATAGCACCCCTTTAAAACTAGGTTTTGTCATATACACACATTTATATTTCTTGAATATTATTCGCTTACTTTTTGTCTTACAATATTTTGAATTATGGCACTTTTTGTCCTCTATATGTCTTGATTGACATTTCATCAACATGATGAATATTCATGAACGTTGTCACATTAGCCATGATAGACCATACAGATGCTTTTTATTGCATATAAACATGATAAATTCATTTGCCTTGATAAAGTCTCCCATAGGACGAAACGCGTTTACTAAGAGTTTTTCCTCTTGCATTTTATTAATTATATATATATATATATATATATATATATATATATATATATATATATATATATATATATATATATATATATATATATATATATATATTCTGTTTATACGTTATTTTCATGCACACACTTATTTGAGTAAATGTTCCGTTCTTTAATTAAGTATATAAATTCCATTTACCAGCCTTTATGTTAAATATGCGTTATCCAACAGGTTTCGAACCAGTATGACCGTTAAACTACAGAGAACTGTGTATATGTGTGTGTTTGAGTGTATGTGTGTGTGTAAATTAAATTCATTAATGTGAAACAAGGGACTTCTAATGTTAAAATTAGCCGTATAATGGAAACATTCATTTTTAACAGTTTCTCAGAAAATTAGGCTTCATTCTCAAGTCCACTAAATTTTATCATTCGTTCTGGCATTGGTATAAATTTCCATCCAAACCTGTTGCTTATATTAGTATGAAAAAATCAGCATTTTATTGATATCATTATTTTTCTTTCTACCCATTTCATTTGTTATTCCTTTAGCAAAACTTCAAGAGATTTTATTTGTGCTATTTAGTATCGTTTTTTGTTTCTGATTTAGTAGACCAGTCTCTAGAGTCCTATGAAGGTTTGCCTGTTTTAATATTTATTTCAGGAACGAGGTAATGGAAAAAAAAAGGATGGTGCAGAAAAAATGAAAATGAAAAATAAGATAAAAGACTTAGTGAAGGATCGAAAATTTAAAAAAGTAAGCGAAAAGAGAAAAAAAGAGAGAGAAAGGAGATAAAACAAGAAAAAGAAATCGAAAGAGAAATACTTCCCTGAAATAATGGTAACTCTAATTAATTAAACATATCAAAAGCGAATAAGGAGTCAGGCGGGAAAGTGAAGAAAAAGAATTATTGTAACACAAGTGAAGCGAAAAAAACAGATGATAAATTGATTTTTAAGAATGAAAAAAATAAAGAATGTTTAATATATATATATAAAAAGAGTAAATGGAAAAAAGTAACAAACAAACAAACAGAACGGAAAGTCAATAGAAAAAGATAGAAACGAAGAAAATAATTGCGTACATCAATAACTAAAGAATGAATGGTAAGCAAGAAAGTAAAGGTATTTTTGAAGATAAAGAAAAGTGGATGAACGCGCCACTGGACAACGAAGAAAAGTAAGAATGATGGCTGCAAAAGGAGAAAAGAAATAAGAGGAATATAGTGATGTTGGAGAAAGAAAGAAAAAAAGCACAACAAAAATAGACAAAAGAAAGAAAACATTAAAAGAAAGAAAGAAAAAAGAAAGAAAGAAAGAAAGAAAGAAAGAAAGAAAATAATTCTATGAAGAAAGAATAAAACAAAAAAACAGTAGGCTGGAAATCAAAGCTATTTTGAGAAATATCAAAAGCGACTGAAGGAGCTGAATGACAATGCAGAAAGACATGATAGCAATAAAAGTGAAATGAAAAAAAGAAGGAAAATGCGACTTTAAAGAAAGAAAGAAAGAAAGAAAGAAAAGAGAATAACGAAAGAAATGTAGAAAGATTATTCCATATAAAGAACTAAAAGAGAAGATTGGTAAGTCAGAAATCAAAACTATTTTTGAAAATGATCAACAGCGAATCAATTCGCCGCCAGGACAACAATGAAGAGAAAGAATAATGGTGAGGCAACTGTAAATGAAAGAAGAAAGATATTCTGAAGAAAGAAAGAAAGAAAGAAAGAAAGAAAAAGAAAGAAAGAAAGAAAGAAAAAAGAAAGAAAGAAAGAAAAAGAAAGAAAGAAAGAAAGAAAGAAAGAAAGAAAGAAAGAAAGAAAGAAAGAAAAAAAAAAGAAAGAAAGAAGAGTACGAGTTTTATTTTATAAGTCTTCATTACAAAGAGAAAAGAATACAATTTTGGAAAGAAAGAAAGAAAGAAAGAAAGAAAGAAAGAAAGAAAGAAAGAAAGAAAGAAAAAGAAAGAAGAGTACGAGTTTTATTTTTTATAAGTCTTCATTACAAAGAGAAAAGAATACAATTTTGGAAAGAAAGAAAGAAAGAAAGAAAGAAAGAAAGAAAGAAAGAAAGAAAGAAAGAAAGAAAGAAAATATTTTTGGCAAATAACGGACTAAAGAGAGAATGGTAAGCAAAGTTATTTCTGAAAATGATCAGAAGCGAATGACATGCCGTATAATGAAAAAGTTATAAAGTAGAGTGATTGCAGCAAAAGTGAAGAAGAATAAAGAAGAAACTTTAAAGATTAGAAAAAGAAAGTAAACAAAGAAGATAGAAAGACAGAAATGAAAAAGGAAAGAAAAAATAAAGGAAAAAAGAAATCTTAAGAAGTAGATGTAAAGGAGATTAAAAAAAAAGACAAAGAATCATTTTGGAAAGGAAGAAGGAAATATAGTAATTAAGTAAAACTATGTCCATCCGTAAACCAGACGTAAAAATCGCAGGAAGACGCGAACTATAGCGAAAAGCTAATTAATAAATGAATGAACAATCACAGAGAAAATCCAGTGAAAGTGATTTAGCAGAAAATCAGAAAAATGAAAATAGAAGATAAAAAGGGGGTCAAAACCCAGACCATAGGGGTTAATGAAGGCGCATGGTAAGAAAAAAACCCCGAAAGCAAGAATGCAAGAAAGGAATGAAAATAGAAATTGTTCTTTGTGTGGACGAAGATACAAGTTCGCTATTAGATCTTTTCAAGGGCCATTGAAACAAAACCAATTATGATGAAGGTGATAAAATCCAAACTAACCAAGACGATTTGCCGGCCCCTGGAGGTGGAGGACGAACAAGGTTTTCAACGATCCACTGGTTGGGTAAGCGGCAACTTGGAATGGGGAGGATAAAATCGTTATATACTTTATGCTAGGTGATTGAACGTGCTATAATTTACTCTAATTAAGAATAGCTCGTTTAATTGCTAAAACTTGCTGGGAGGGATTAAAAAAAAAACATCATTGGACTTCTCAGTGCCTGAGGCTTTAGCATTTTAGATTTAAGCAAGAGATGAAAACGAAAAGCAAACCTCCCCGCTCTCTCGTAGTCCTTTCCTGCATAGTGTTTGGCAAATAATGACAGAATTTGTATCATTGAGTCATTTTAAATGATTTAATAGGAAAGCAAACAGGAAGGAAGTTACCAGAAATAAATTACACAGACTGGTTTCATTATGTTTCAGACGCAAAGTGGTTATCTGGTATTCTATTGGATTGGAGTTTTTATCATTATTCATATGATAATTTTCTTGGCACTGTTTCAATTTTTCATCGTTAGAGCTGTTTCGACTTGAAGACCTACTACAAATCACAGTGATTTTTTTCATCTTCTTGTAGGCTGGTTGCCAACCACGGTTAGAGATCCCAGTCTATCCTCTTTTTTAAACCATAGCTCGGGGTGATAAATGGATGTATACTTTTCTCGGAGTTACTTCTGAATAAGTCTTTGTAAAGAATTCGACATAAGGTCGGTTTCCAAGCCGCTAAGCATTTCCACAGTACATTAATTTTAATATTTACAATAAAACAAGTAATTTTTCACTTTCTTATATATATTTTTTATTATTTAATATCAGAGTAGGTAAATATTTTATCAAATTCATTTTTTTAAAATGATTTCAGCTCAAACCCATATCAGACATTAGATGCACTACGAATTAAAAAAAAAAAAACTCTCTTCAGTAACGGAATTAATAAGAACTCCTCTTTCTCTCTGTAGACATTAATCTCTCAGTGTCTGAATACCAATTCCAAGTGCCATATGGAAGTTTCACGTTGGAGAATATTTAAATTTATAAAATAAGCTTGGTCAAAGAAACGTTCCTCCGAGACATTTTCATATATGTTCAATAATCGTAGTACGAAATAAGAATGCTGAGGAGCGAATTATCATCAAAGATGTTTTGACTCGAAGGCCCACAGCAAATTGATAAGATTTATGATTGCTCGTTTCAAAGTATACCCATCTGCTCAAACCGATTAATTTTTCTTCATTTATTTTAACCTAGTCACTTAACGTTGCCTCCTCGAATCCAGTATACACTAAAAATAACTTTTAAAGCCATATATATATATATATATATATATATATATATATATATATATATATATATATATATATATATATATATATATATATATGTGTGTGTGTGTGTGTGTGTGTGTGTGTGTGCAGGTTCTAGATTTGTATCTTAAGTAAGTTAACATCGTGAAACGTTTCGTATTATTAGACAAATATAGTTAAATTCATATATATATATATATATATATATATATATATATATATATATATATATATATATATATATATATATATTAATATATTATATATTTAAAATATGGTTCTTTCGCTACTAAGCAATTACCATGTTTCAAAAACCGAAGCTAAAATATTCAAATGTAAGCGAAATTTGGAATAACTTATTTTTAAATTTATTGAGATTTAAAAGCACATACAATCATAATTCTTTGTTTCTAAGGATACAGAGTAATCCAAACCAAACTAATGCTTTTAATTTAAATATATATGTGTGTGTGTATGTTTGTTTGTGCGTGTGTTTGTTTGCGTGTGCGTGTCTGTGTGCGATGTGTGTATGTGTGTGTGCGATGTGTGTATGTGTGTGCGGTATGGTGTGCGTGCGTGTGTGCGTGTTTGTTAACAGAAAGACAGATTTACAGATAGATAGATATATAGATACATAGACAGATCAGCTTCTCTAATAAATATCTATCCACAAGAGATCCTCTTACACTCAATGCAAGGAAATGAACATTAATACTGGATTCACTGTGCATGCCTAGCAGCCAAATATGAAATATTTTCAGATATGTGTTTGCATCAATGTAATAACATGCACAGCAATATTAAATGACCAAAGATAAAAAAAAATACAGGAAAATATGCTGGTAACATTTAGGTATCTTAGTATTTATTATATGACATGATATTTTCTTAAGTGGCTCAGCTCATTTTTTTGATCCCCGTTTTTATTTCTAACAAGCAAGGTTACTCGGTATTATATCACAGTAACAAGAAAATTTAGTTCACGCACATTTTAGTGAAATATCCTCATTCCATACATATTCTATAAGTGAGATGTAAGTTCTACTCAAGCAGCTTCTCACGAAGGACTGCTTTGTAGAAGCGACTTCCTGGAGTCTGATTCTCTGATCACTACAATCTTAACCTTTTCAAATCTAGAGTCAGTCATTATGTTCACCACATGTCCTCATAATCTGTACCTCTTACTTTGTCGATTTCTAACTTGAGTGGTTCTTGGGCCTTGTGCAGGGTGAACATTGTAAAAATCAAAGTAAACCATCTACTAACCAAAACTCTTGAAACCTGAAACGTTTTTTTTTTCAGATTTCAAAATAATAGTGTCATTCATTTGAACCTGTAGTGTCCTTATGGAATATAGGCCATATTCTTATCACATAACTTACTCAGTAACCCACTACCATGAATGGTTTTTTATGCCTTGAATTGGATGAACATATATATATATATATATATATATATATATAACTTTACCATATTTGATCTTATGGGTGGATATGCTCGCTTCATATTCAAAGATTTTAAATTCAGAATTATCTTTCTTCTATACTGGTTGTTGATAACCTAACCTAAAGAGTTCTGCTATTTAATCCACAGTGGATTCCGATATCATCAAGCAGTCACCATGAAAAATCGACCATGGTGAAATTTGAGCTCTGGTTTCTTGGTCGGAATCAAATCGTATTAAATAGGATTTTGTTACGTATGATCGGGACATGCAGAAATAAAAATATGGATAGTTTTAATGATTTTTATGGGCTTTTTATTGTATTTACGAGGTCTGTCTGAAAAGGGACGGGTGTCACAAACAATTTATTTCAGTTCCAAACAACTAATGAAATGGTTTCCCATTCACAGTAGTCAACCCCAAGTCTCTGCACTTTTCCATCCTTTTCTGTAACGCTTTTATACACTGTTGGAAGGATTCCTCTTGGATGACCCTCATTTCCGTCCTCTTGATGGACTCCATGCCTTAAAAACAGGTTCCGTAATGATTACCTTAAGCTTGGAGTTAATAAAAAAAAATTCCACAGAGCAAGATCCTGTGAATAGAAATTTTGTTTCAATACAGCGATGTTCTTCTCGGTCAGAAACTTCACACCAAACATGTACATAAGTTTAAATATCTGGGAAGTGTTTACACTAAACATGTACAGAAGATTAAATATCTGGGAAGTGTTAACACTAAACATGTATACAGTTTTAAATACCTAGAAAGTGTTAACACTAAACATGTACACAATTTTAAATATCTGGGAAGTGTTAACACTAAACATGTACAGAAGTTTAAATATCTGGGAAGTGTTGACACTAAACATGTACAGAAGTTTAAATATCTGGGAAGTGTTGAAACCTAACATGTACAGAAGTTTAAATATCTGGGAAATTTTAACACTAAACATGTGCACAATTTTAAATATCTGGGATGTGGTAACACCAAATACGTACATAAGTTTAAATATATGATATGTTTTAACACTAAACATGTACTGAAGTTTAAATATCTGGGAAGTGTTTTAACAGAGGGTGAAAAAAATGATACTGAAATCCTAGGTCGCGTTGAAATAGCGAAAGATGTTTTCCAAAAGCTAAGCGGGTATATTCGGAACAATAAAATTTAATTAGAATCAAAGACAAGACTACAGAAATGTTATGTAATATCGGTCCTCTTATATCGCTGTAAATACTGGACAATTTCTTCATTGAGGACGAAATGACTTTAGGCAAGATTAATAGGCTTTCCAGAAGGATGCTGAGAATACCATGGGCTGAACATGTGCATAATAAGGAAGTTTTAAGGACAATAGAAACCAAAAGAACGCTTGTAGTTTGAATCAAAAAAGAGATAGTTGCTTTTCATTCATTAATACAACTTTTGTTTCTTTCTCTTTTCCTTTCTTTCTATCTTTTCATTACTTGCTCTTTCAGTCATTTATACAAACTTTATTTATTTTTTCCATTTTTTTCTTTCTTTTTCTTTTTCTTTATTTATGTCCTTCTTTCTTTCGTTTTTTTGCTCGTTCATTAATATATACAAATTTCCTTTGTTGGTTTATTTTTTATATTTTTTTCATTTTTCTTTCTTTCTTTCTTTCTTTCTTTGCATTATTTGATCATTCATTCATTACTACAAACTTACTTCGTGTTTTCTTTTTTCTTTCTTTCTTTCCTTCTTTCTCTTTTTCTTTCTTTCTTTCTTTCTTGCGATTACTTGATCATTTATTCATCAATACAATCTTCATTTGTTTGTGTTTTCTTCTTTCTTTTTTTCTTTCTTTCTTTCTTTCTTTCTTTACTTGCTCATTTATACAATCAATTTATACAACCTTCGTTTGTTACTTTCTTTATCTTTTCTTCTTTTCATTCCTTCATTCTTTCTTTAGTTACTTCTTTATTTATTTAAATTAATTGCTCCTTCCTTCATTTATAGGACACATAATTAGGAAATATAGCTTGGTGAATTTGACACTCACAGGACATATTGAAGGCAAGATATTGAAGGTAGAAAGCAGCGGGTAAGATATCTTACGAACTTGTATAAAAAAAATGGCACAATAGGGACTGCAAAGGATAGTAAAATGACAAACCTTACTGGGAACTACAAAGTGTAGGAAGCTGTGGAGAGACATGGTCTCACATAGTAGAATAGAAGAAGGACATGTTATGTTGTTTTGATTATGTAACACAAATTAACGTTATGGAAATCAAACTGAGAAAAAGGACTCAGATTAGAAGCATCACGTCTAATAAAATATACGATATCTATGACAATCCTCAAACAGTTTTGTATAGAATGCTACTTAATGCATAAAATATATTTGAAAGAAATATTAACGATAAAAGATTTCTGTATATGATAATAGGACACCCTTTTCTATTTTACTCATTGCATGTGTAAAAGAAACCAACAAAATTTAAATATATGTATCAGATTATTAAATAAAGGAAAAGACATTAGAATTTAAAAAAGGAATGTAATTAATGGCTCGAGGTCATGAGCCGCATGGAACTAGACTCTTAGAATGTTTTTTTTTTTTTCTTTTCTTTTCCAATTTCGTTCTTTCTTTCTTTAAATTACTGGATGATTCTTTCATTCGTTCCACCTCGCTTTTCTTTCTTCCTTTCTTCCTTTATATTTATATCATGAGTTATTTTTATGCAACCTTTTTTTTTCTGTCTCTTTTTCTTTCTTGACTTAATCATTCAGTCATTTATCCAAACTTTGATTTTCTCTTTTAAACTTTTTCTTTCTATCGTTGTTTAATTCTTAGTTGTTTATACCCATTACTTGATAATTCATTCATTAATACAATTTTGTTTCTTTCTTGTAATTTTTATTTCATTCTTTCTTTTTATTATATTACTCGCTCGTTCTTCATTTATACAATATTAGTTTGTTTGTTTCTTGATTTTCTTTCTTTCTTCTTCCTTTCTTTCTTCTTCCTTTCTTTCTTCTTCCTTTCTTTCTTCCGTCCTTCTTTCTTCTTTCTTTCTTTCTTTCTTTCTTTTTATTACTTGTTACAACCTTTTTTGTTTTATTTTCATTCATTTATACTTCCTCTCTTTCTTTACATTAATTGCTCATTCATTAATTTATACAACCTTCGTTTGTTTATTTCTTTATGTTTTGCTTCATTTATTTATTTTCTTTCTTTCTTTCTTTTCCTAATTCATTCATTTATACAACTTTCATTTCGTTATCTTTTCTTTCATTCATTTTTGTTCTTTTCATTACTCGCCCATTAAATAATTTATACAAACTTCCTTTATTTGGGTATTTCTTTCTTTATGTTTTCTTTCTTTCTTTCTTTCTTTCTTTCTTTCTTTCTTTATTTATTTATTTATTTAATTATTCATTTATTTCCATTTCTTAGTCATTCATTCGTTAATACGACCTTCGTTTTTTAAATTTTCTTTCTTTCTCTCTCTTTCTTTTTTTTTGTCAATTGCTCATTCATTCATTTCTAGCACTTTTGTTTATTTGTTTCGTTATCATTTTCCTTTTTCTTTCTTTCTTTCCTTTCTTTCCATTACATACTCATTCATTCATTTATACGAACTTTGTTTGTTTACTTGTTTCTTTAATTTTGACGTATTTATTTCTTTTTCTTTCTTTTCAATACTTGATCATTTCTTCATTAATGCAACATTAGTTTGTTTGTCTTTTCTTTCTTTCTTTTCATTAATTTCTCATTCATTCATACAAATTTCATTTCTTTGTTTCTTTATCTTTTCTTTCATTCATTCATTCTTTCTTTTCATTACTTAATGAATTAAGTAATGAAATTCATTCATTAATCTTTCTTTCTTTCGTTCGTTCGTTCTTGCTTTTCATTATTGCTCATTCATTCATTTATACAAAATTCGTGTTTCGGTATCTCTTCTTTCTTTTTTCTTTCTCTCTTTCTTACTTTCTTTCCTTCTTTCTTTCTTTCTTTCTTTTTCTTTCTTTCTTTCCATTACTTGATCATTCATTCATTTATACAACCGTCATTTGTTTATTTTTTTTCTTTCTTTCATACTTTCCATTTCAAGTTTCCTCTTTAACTCTGTGATCATCTTTTTTTCTTTGTTTCGGTAAAATCATTCTTTGATGCAGATTTGGCCTTTTTTTTTTATTAAGCTTCGTTATTTCATTTGTCTATTTATTTACGAATATAAATATTCTCAATTTTGAACCTTTTATTTTTACATATTCCAAGCACTTCTGTCCCTTTGAAATGATGTAAAATTATTTGATTCTGTATTTATCCCGCATTAAGTTAATGGCATGTTGAATACAATTCATTTGAGTTGACGTAAGTGTATAGACTCTGAATATTTAAGTATATTTTTAACTCAACAGGCGCGCGTGCGCAAACACACAGATAGATACACGCACAAACAAAAATTCTATCTATCTATCTATCTATCTATCTATCTATCTATCTATCTATCTATCTATATACATATACTTCTTATATCCTACTTTTTTTACTATCCTCCCCCTCTCTCTTCTCTCTCTCTCTCTCTATATATATATATATATATATATATATATATATATATATATATATATATATATCATCGTCATCATCATCCCTTGAGTTTTGTAAACGTAGGGCGGATCTGAATGTAGAACCCACACTAACTCTTTTCCACAACGGTCTATCAACAGTGATACCTGTCCATTCTTTGACATTATCCAAACAGTTTTCGCATTGGCGTCCTCTGCTACGTACAACTTCAACGGTGTCCTGAATGATAATCTTGAACAGATTGTCGTGCCTTGTAATGTGTCCATACAACGCCATTTTCCTCCGTTTGACCATGCCGAGAAGAGGTTCCTTGTATACCACAACACTTTTCCGCAGAAACTCTTTGGTTTTTCTTCCCAATACAAAATACCAATGCTTATTCTTATGCATTTGTTCCCAAACGCTTGGATCCTACTCTCTGCATATATATATATATATATATATATATATATATATATATATATATATATACATACACATGAAAAATTGTATTTTTTATAAATGTAAAAGATTTAGCTAAAACAAATGTTGATACATTTTATGTGTAAAGATACATTTTATTAAAAAATAGTAATAAACTTAATTAATTGTTATTGTAACAAACATTAATGCATTTCTTTCATTTTAACTGATGAAAAAAGTATTCGTACAAAACAAAAAAGCATATTAACTTAATTTAATACTTTGTGGAATATCCTTTATTGAGTTCAAAAGCTACCAGTCTATTCCTGTACGTCTCAACTAATGATTTGCACACATTGAGTGGTATTTTGCCCCATTCTTCTTGACATATTGTCTTCAAATTCTTGATATTTGTTGGTGCTCTTTTCTCAGTTTGAATTTTCAAATATCGCCATGAATTCTCGATTGGGTTCAAGTCTGGGGACTGACTTGACCATTGCAAGACATCAACGTTACTTTCAACTAACCATTTCCCTGTAGATCTAGCGGTATGCTTAGGATCATTATCCAGTTGGAAAACCCAATCAGGAGGTAGCCGAAGTCTCTCAACAGAACGCATTAAACTGTCTTGCATGATTTTCTAGTAGCTTTTGGCATCCATCTTGCCATCTATTATTGATATTCTGCCAACACCTTTTGCAGAAAAACAGCCCTAGATCATGATAATGCCATCACCAAACCTTACAGTTGGCAACGTGTTCTTTAGTAAGTAGGCTTCACCGTTCTTCCTCCACATATGATTTCGATAATTATGACCAAACAACTCTATTTTAGTTTCATCTGTCCATAGTACTTTTTTCCCAAAACGAATATTCTTTATCCTTATGCTCTCTAACGAATTTTAGCCTAGCATCTCTGTGTCGTTTCAAGAGGAGTGGAGTCTTCCTTGGGATGCGTGAATTCAGATTGTTTTTGTGTAGTTCATTACTTATTGTACGCTTGGTTACTTTAATCCCTAATGCACGCAGATATTCTTGCAGCTCTTCTCGGGCAACCTGTGGATTTTGTTGGATCTAGCGTCCTAAGATCCTTGCTGATCTTAGAGAAATCTTCCTCGGGGCACCTGTTCGTCTTTGGTTTTTGACGCTGTTACAAGTTTTAAATCTTGCAATTAACGAAGCAATTGTAGTAAAAGGAATATTCAGGTTGTTAGAAATCGTTCTGTAACTGTTCCTATCTTTCCAAAGAGACAAAATGTGTTGTTTTTGTGAAATAGTCAATTCTTTACCTTTAGGCATTATTAGAACCTTCTCGTAAGACGCAAAATGGCTAATAGCGTTAACTACAATTACTCATAACATTACTGGAACATTCTAAAATATACTATTTTCATAACCGTGGAGAAAGACACTGAAGTCGAGATGTATGGGCAGGATTGATTACTTTACAGATATTTCTTTGGATCCTTGTGAAGATGTACAGCAGGTGCACCAGACAAGATATGACACAGTATCCAATGCACGAATGGTAAATTTTGAAATATGCAATATGGATTCTGACTTTCTGGCACATCACAGTGAACCACCTTTCCTTGCAGTAGATGATTCTCTTCATTCAATATTGTCACTCCTCTTCAACTCAATGGAAAACATCAGGCCAAGCAGATACAGATATACAAAACAAATGAAAAATTCCTAAGCTCCATAACAATATACATATATTTGATGTCAATCCTACGACCCTCTTATTGTTCATAATTTTATCTTATTTCATATTTCCTTCTATTTTTAAACCTATATTCTTACATGCCATATAATATATATTATATAGAAACTCTATAATTTTATTTCCTATTTTTCAATCAATAGGAGTAGATACGTTCACCTATCGTTTGGTTCACACTCCCCAGGTATTTTAAACGCGAATAGAGGTTTATCATTGTCCCTGGTTAATTCTAAATATCGTTTCAATCTCTTTCACTACAAGTAACCCCTTACGCCTTAGGGGCATTATCGTCTTGATTGAGCTGTATTGAATGTAAAAAGTGTTACTACTGCTGGATATTTTCTTACAAAATTCCTTCAACCATCCGCCAGTCATACATATCCAACAATCCATCCCCCGCCTGATACCCGATGCCTCGATAAATGAAAACTTTTGCAACCGAACAAAATTTGAGTGTAAAATAACACTAAGTTTTTTTTCAGTAAAATTTACATTGACACCAGATCGTACAAAAATACAATAGAAAAGAAACATATAGCTCAACCCACATGGTAATAAAATAATAAACGAATACCGATAAAGAATTCATCAAATCCAACGACAACCACTTCCCTATTTCAAATTAGCTGCACAAAATGTCCAATAGAGATACATTAAAACGTAGCAGAAATATGACTAATAAACCACAAACAACTACAACTCCATCATTAACAACAATGCAAATTAAAATGCCCACTAAATGATAAATGCTGACAATCCAACGTAATATTGGAAGCTACCGTATGATAGAAAAGTTACCCAGGTAATAATAAGTAGGAAAAACAAGAGGTTCCTGAAAAGGGAGAAGCTAATCACAGAACATTTAAAAAAAATGTGAATAGTCAAGCATATCAATGCAAATATGTAACCTTACAAGCAAAACCCAAAACACGGTAAAAATGACAAGGATAAAAAGAAATAGCAACGTCAAAAACTCAAAGTAAAACTCAAAGTAATTTAACCTTTGCCTAGGTGAGTAAATAGAAAAAAAAATCACGCTTCGAGAACAATATAAACGCCATATAAAACCTTAATCAAGGTTTTATTTCCATATACAGACACGAAAAATATTATTGCTACGCTACCTACAACAAAATTACAGTTTAAATGAGATCACATAACCTACATCTAATACACATTATTTAAAATACAAAATTGTAGAAGACAAGAAGATATAACACTTAACGGACTGAAATAAGAAAGTGAAATAAATTTTAAAAAAGAAAATACGTGAAAAAAATGTAACTGTTAAAACCTAAAGCATTAATCCAAAACAAAATAACTAGGACAGACTGGTTTCCTCTCCCTCTCACGTACATATGTTATCAGAAAATAATTAAAACATTTAAGTTGAGGGTGTTAAAACCGCAAATATCTCATTATAGTAACAATACTGTACAGTATTGTAGCCTCGAAGTATTCTCCAAGACCTCTCACCTCTAGACTATAATTTGTATATCAGGAAATAATTTTTTTCTTTGGTCATGGATTCTAAAAAATTAGCAACGTCACATTCACCATATCAAAAGATGGTACTAAAGTAAAATAAACTTAAATTTATTTAAATGAAAAAGATATATTGTCAAAAAAAAAAAAAAAAAAAAACGTTGGAAAACTTTGAATCAAGCTTACATAATTTCGTTAGTAAATATGGCATACAGGATACGGTGGATAAATTGTCGTGTAAATTAAGCAAAAAAGAAAATAACAGTGACATCTCATTTTAACGGATATATTCACCAAAATTATATAGGAAAATTTTGAAATAGTAAAAAGTAAATAAATTCAATACATTTGTCGTTGACTTCAATCACGGCCTCCAGATGACTTCGGAATCTCCTGCATTACATCTGGATTCAACTTGGGGAATGCTGTCATAATCCTCTGCCTTCAGTTCATCTTTGGTGTTACAAGGAGTTTTGTTGGTCTCTCACTCAACTGTGTCCCACACATAATAATAAAAAAGGGTTGCAGTCTGGAGAATTATGTTGCCAAATGTAAGGGGTGGTGTGGTCGGAGAAATTGTTTGACAGCCATGAAATGGTTTTCCTGATTGTGTGGCATATTGCAGATTCCTGTTGCTAGACATAGGGTCTTCCAGCAGCTAACCTTTTGTCCCAGGACAGCACTACATCCTCAAGCCACTTGATGTAGACCTCCGTGTTGTGCCTGAGAAGATGAATGGAGGCATAACGTCGCTATCACATTTAATCACACCAAACACCTTCGTAATCACCATTAGAGTCATCCGACTCTTTCTGAATCCTTTGCATTGTCCACAGACTGACACGGAAACACTCTGAAATGTTTGTATTGGAGATTCTGGCGCGAATGTCAAGCAGTACAGGATGTCGTTTCCAAATTTCTAGCGGGTGAATTGCGTCATGGTGCTCTTTTTCTTACCGACGGTGTCAAACTGATCCTACTATACTGGGCAGTCGATAAAATCAAAGACAAACAACGCGCATGCGCGAAATTAAGAAAAGGAATGGCTTCAATTTATCCATCTCCTCCCTCTCTCTCTCTCTCTCTCTCTCTCTCTATATATATATATATATATATATATATATATATATATATATATATATATATACATATAACGGGTGTAACTGCAAAATTGTCCAAATGTTAGGATTAAGCTCTGAAAGCGTTGTATCTTAAGTGATTAAATATATATTACTGAAATTCTCCAAGGTTTTTATAACACTAGTGGATTTTACATTGAGCTATAAGAATGTATAATTACTCTCCGGGCTTAACAGAAAAATGATGGTGAAATCGATTATAAACTAAGATGACATGTATGTACTTAATTAATCGTAGCTAAGAACCGGAAGCAGATGAAATATTGAAATACAGTTCAAATATATATATATATATATATATATATATATATATATATATTCCAGGATCATTTTTCAACTTATTCAAGATGATCTCCGCCCTGTCTAAACTTCTAAGTTTCTGTCCTGGTTCAACAAGTTGCCTCACACATTTTATGTACGATTTCATTTTCTAGTCTTTTTAAACTATTCTTTAGACTATCATGGCTAAAACTTCTCACTCAAGTGCCAAACGTCTTATGAATTGAGTTGTATCTTTTCTAATTGATCGCTTTACCTTTAAATTGAAATGATGATCCCTGTTGTTGCTGTGAAGCCTGATCCAGTTTCCTTCTCTAATGTTTCCTATTTTTTAAAACTTATTCGCCGTTCTTTTAATCGTTCTTGAATGGACATTGAAGATGGAAGTCAGAATATGAGCGTTGGTACTATTGCTGAAGGTCTGAATGATCTTATTTCTCTCACCATTGCTCAGTTGGAAAGACAGTAGGTCTGACGCAAAACCATTTTATCTGCTCTCTTTTTAGGTGAATAACTCAAAGGGTTTTTCAGTGATTGTTACATAAAACGGTGTCAAGATGGCTGAGCATATTATCTGAAAACCTGGAAAAAAGAAACTCAGTTAGTTTAGTGTTTTTGTTTTTTTTTTAGATTTGAAACATTTGGTGGGATCCATAATTATGCTGTTAGACGATTTGGGAATTTTTTCTATTTCAACCGGGTATATAGTTAATCATTTTATCCCAAGCTAAGCAATAAATCCACTAGAACTCAAGGGGTTTATAAGTATGAACGAATATGAGAAAGAAAAAAAAAATAGTATTACGAAAGAGAAAACAATAAAAGAATGTGAATTCAGTAGATAAAAGATGATGATTTATATTGCAGTTAAAATTTTGACGATCAAAGTTGTTGGAAAGCAAGTGGCGGGAAGAGGATTTCAAACGCGAGAAATGCGAGAGAAGAACCTGTTAGGAGAGAATTTGCGGTTGACCTCGCCATTTCTATTGTAAGATGATGTGAACTAATTGCCAATTTATTACTGCGCTGAAATTCATAAAATCGAGGTACTAAATTGGAAAGCCCATCAGAACAATTACCAGGAAAATAGTTATAGAAAAATCCACCGGTAAAATAGCTTACCGGTGCATTTTTATCTGTGAGAAAATTGTCAAGCATTCACTGTCATGTAGTAGTAATGACATTACTTGCACTATTTTTGTTCCTAAAGTAATTTTCCTTTGTCCTAATAATTTGCTTAGATTTTGATGGGAGCTTACGAAATGAAAAGAAAAACAATGAAAGAAACGAGGATAAAATAAACATGGAAGAATACGTAAAGATGAAAAAATAGGAAACAATAAAACTGCAAATTAAAAGATCAATTAAAATTATGAAATGATGTTATCAAAATAAAAAAAAAAAAAAACACACGGAATTTAAGTACTTGGTAAATGCTTTAAAGCAGGATTGAAAATCTGACACCGAAACCCGAAGGGAAGCCGTAGTGGAATAGCAGAAGAGAAGAAGCATTACAAAAACTCAAGCAAAGTATTAAGAAATAGAAAAGTTCGGTTGGAAACAAAACAAAAGACTTATGTAATATCAATCCTTTACACATGAAAAGAATACTTGAGACAATAGCAATGTTGTTCTACAGAAGGATACTGAGAATACAATGAACGTGGCATGTAAGCCACGAGAAAGCTTTAAGGAAACAAACAGAAAACTCAGAATCAGAAAGAGACAGCTGAAATCTCAAAAAGGTGGTTTTGAAAATTTTGACACATAATATGTATCGAAATCATAAGGTAGAGTGAGTATTAGGCAACCTAACTGACAAACCTATAGCAAGGGATAGCAAAGCGAAGATTGGAAGAAATGGTAAAAAAATATTATTAATACCTACGAGATTTATTAGGTTGTGGAGAGCCATGATTGCAGACGTTCTGAAGAGACGCAGTTCATAGAAGAAGAACTGAAAAATAATATTTCTTATGGCATTACCATAACTCAGTGGTTATGAAGCTTACCTTGCAGACGATTAATATTTCAATGGATTGCTTCTCACCTTGGGACTATGTGTGTCTTTGTATCTGATTAATCTACGCCGACTTATTGGAAGTGTTTTGTCTATTCCTCAGCGTTGTTATTTTGCGTTGTTTTAGCTTCGGTTACAAACATGTTTTGAATGATTGTTTGCAAATTAGAAGGACTACTCACCCATGAATATTCGTGTAGCGCAGTCTTTAAGTATTTATTTCCCAAATTGAACATTGTTTATTACGAAGTTGAATTTTTAAAAGTATCTAGCGTTTTTAAAAACGCAGAAACTAAATATTTTGAAAATGCGTTAATTAAAGCGAAGACATTTATAATATGGCGGTAAAGTGTATTTTAGAAGTATGCGAATATACAGAATATAAGTTATATAAGTTAAGATATGGAATACACTTTACGTTGTTTAAGGATAATGGGTTTGGCCACTCTTTTTTAAATAGGAGGATCTGCTTCCTTTTCTCGAAAATAACTGTTTGAAATAAGAGTTTTTATTTGACTCTGAACACTAAACAGTGGGTCTAAGCAATGGTTGAAGTGAAAAAAGGTTTCAATAGAAAAAGGATGTAAAATCAGGAAAGTAAAAATCGATATTAGATAGAAAAGCTGAAGTTAAGATAGAAAGAAATCAATTGAAAGAGCAAGAAATAAAGGGTAAGAAAGAAAGTGTAAGAAAGAAAGTGTAAGAAAGAAAGTGTAAGCTGTGACAGTCGACTGTGCGTTAAGAAAGAAAAAAAGATTCAGAGATAAAAAAAAGAAAGAATGAAAGAGCAAAAGAAAGAAAGAAAGAAGAATGAAATAGAGGAAGAAAGGAAAGAAGAATGAAAGTGAAGAAAAAATTAATGAGAAGAAAAACGGAATGAAATGAAAATAAATAAATATAAAAGAAAGAAAGAAGAAAAAACGAAATAAGGAAAAAGAAGAGACAAAAATGAAGAAATTAAACAAAGAAAAACAAATAAAAGTGAAGAAGAAAAATAACGGAAGGAAAAGAAACACACATTATAGAAAGAATGGGGAAGAATGAAATGTAAAGCAACGAATGAAAGAAAATCGCAAAAGCAAAAAAGAGAAAGAAAAGAAATTGAGTGAGTGCAGATATAAAGAAGGAATTGGGAGACAGAAGGAAAAAGGACGAAAGGAAAGAAAGAATGAAAAAAGAAAGAAAGAGGGAAAAAGAAAAAGTGAGAGAAAATAATAAAAGCAAGAAGCAAACAGTAAAGATGGAAAAAGTCAAAGAAGAAAGGTAAAACACAAAAAAGAAAGAAAGGAAGA